TCATTCATTTACCCAGTAACGGTTACGCGAATCTCTGCTAGAGTTAGCGACTGACTCGCCGTTACACCGTTACAATATCAAACAAATAAGAAAAACAAGTACTGTAGCGGATCAGCATTTGGAAATAATTATTTTGACATCTTACGAAATCTACAATCAAGAAAAATCCTGAATTATTTGTGAAAATAGCAACTGGCATTATGTTGATTGTTGAAAGAGCGGGTTAGAATAAAAAAATTCGTTAAAGGTGATAATAATTAACATATTTTTGGTTGCATCGTGGAACTGGATGAACTCATATGCTGTATTATTGTTTCGGGCTCTCTAGTGGCGAAGCGAAGTACAGCTTTTCGTGTCTAGCACGACGGGGTATTAATAAGTACAGTATTACGAGGGTGTTGTAAAGCAGAAAGGGCGTGGATTTGGCGGGTTTGTAGGGTTTGACGCAATGTTTTTAAAGTTAAGTATCTTGTAATTTTGACTCTCTTTTTTATTAGCCTTTTTTTTTCTCATTGTTCAGTGTGCAATCGTTTATATAAGCATTGATCGCGACACACAAAATTACAAAAATTAAAGAAATTAAAGAAATCGAAATCTTGTTGGTAAGTTGCTTTTTCGGGCAATCATTAATTGGATTGATGGGACTATCTCAAGCCACTGTCGTATATAAGAAGTTATCGGTGTGCACAAAAAGATATTCTCTCTGAAGGACATAAGGCTGTGAGACGTACAGCTTTTCACAAACATACGCATCAAATTCGGTCAAATATTTTCTCACCCATTTTTTCAAAGATTTCGCAAATCTTCTCTCATTTAATGGGAGAAAGCTTCATCCTCGTCACCAATCATATGTGAATATGCAATTGTAGCGGAGAATAATTCAATAATCAATTTGGCTTCGTTTAAAATAAGCTAAATACTTTGAAGACCTTTCTTCAGGCCTCTCTCCTCTACTTCATATGACACCCCTCAACCTGAAGGCATATTGTGCATTACGATTGCATTGACAATTCACAAAATTCGTGTCCTATATGGTTATCAGTTGAAGATTTTGAAATTCCGGTCCAAATGATACACAGAAAAAATGCTCTAGGGAACTTAGTTCATCGACCGAAAAACGTCTAGTAAGAAAAAAAGGCGTCTAATAAGGAGTGTAATTCTACTATTCTGAAAAAAACTTATCGAAGGGTATTAAACGATGATAATTCTAGTAAGAAATTCATGTAGTTTTTTACATTTCTCTAATATGATAGACCAAGCCGAAAACGTCAACAATCGATATTTTGATTTTGGAGAAGCTTTACACTTACGACATATGGAACTGAAACCCAGCCGGTAAGAATGGAATTCGTGCTCTCATTAATAAAAAGGCAAAAGTCAAAGGGGTGGAAAAGTCTATAAGCTTGATAATGTAATAGTCTACTGCGATTATCATGTGATTTATATTTAACTGTTAAAAAAATCTCATAAACACTTGAAAACCAAATAATATGACATATCTTTAATATGAGATATCAATAAATACACATTTCCTTTTAATAATAATATCCGCACATGAGTTTGCTAACGCGAGTTGACTTTTTGGAAGAATACAATATACCATTACTAAAGTAAAAGATCGACTCGTACCTTACGTCCATCGAGATCATTTCTGATACTTTAAAAGGTTCAATGCGTGAACGATCAAAGAAGTTCTTGAACAGTACAGACAGGCAAGTTTATTTTATCTATTTATTTTTCTTTTTTGTTAAAAAATTCATAAGCATTTGAGGGCGTTTGCGCTAGAACTTTGAGTCGTATGTCAATCAAGTCTTGGGGCAGGCTACGAAGCAGTGCTGGTACGCAAGACTATATCTTTAGGAATTTCTTGCGTATGAGACTTTGGGTCGACTTTGTAGGATGCAAAATCAAATAAAGAATTTTAAAAGTAGTAAATAATAATATTAACACTGAAATCTCTTGCTAAAGACATGGTTATGAATGTATTCAAAATTGGAAGAATCAGTTGGGCCGTCGGTTCACTTTCACCAAATTACGATGGATAACTCGGTGATCGGAATTAATAGTGGAATCTTCAATGTAAATAACACGTTAAAAATAAATAAAGAGAATGCAGGAGCATAATTTTGACCTTGAGGTTATGAGAATCAGCAGAGTTAATAATGTGATAATATAAAAGTGGAAATAAAACGTACAAATAGAGCATCACTTCTCGGGTTTCACTCATGAAGCATGAACAACGACCATTTGAGAATGTTGACAATGGTACTGAACTGGCTGGCACCGCTGCAGAGACATTGGATGATATTTCAGATTGGTTTTACTGAGATAAATACACTACACTGAGCCCAATAAAACCATTTGACAATAGAAACTCCAAGGGTAGAACTAAAATAAAGTACTTATAGATGCTGATAATAATAAGTTCCTGGAGGAAAGCAGAGCAATTTTATCAATTGACGAAGTCCCATATGATCTGTCCTTTGAAGAAAATATATTCAACAATTTTTTGCAGGAAATCAATGTATTTCTGTTGTTCTGTAACCATCAAAACAAGTCACTCGAGTCGGCAAGAACTAAGTGGTTATTTGTAGGGCCCCACGTACATGAAATATTATCACTATCCTCGATCTTGATGTTAACTACGAATTCACATTCAGATATCATGATTAATCTTTTTGGCCGCCTTGCTCGACCAAATCCATCGGAACTCATTCCTGAGCAATCAATTGAATCAAATCTTGATTGAGAATCAAAATTTGAAAAAATAATTAAGGTGGCAATAAAAAATTCATATAAGAATGTCACAAAATGGTTGCTTGAACAGCTTGCAAACGAAGAATTTTGATAGAGAATGCAGGCTATATCGACTTGGATTGTTTAAAACATTACCTACTCCATAAGGAAGATTAACGAAATCACTCATCACAAATTATCTCGACCGGATCATGAGAGGATTCTTTTATGATCCGAATCAACCATATTGTTTAGTGGCCAAACACAACACTGGAGGAAAGAAAAGTCAGAAAATTTGAAGACTGAGCAAAACAACTCGACTTCACGGTTTAAGTCGTACCTTCCTTTTAACTATTCCATTGCCAATTCCTTTAGGCAAACCTTGGGTCTCTCGCTTAGTCGAGTGTACGATTGCAAGTAAGTCAGGCGCACGTGAAAACAAGGCAATAGTTTATTTACAACTTTATTTTATTATTAAATGCTAGGGCACCTCAATCCTATACAATTCTACGTTCAGTAGTCCTATTTGTACATGCTAATCATTTTCGCCACATGTTTACATGCTTTATTCTTCTCGAACTTTCCCACCATTATTTTCATAACTATGTTAATTACATTACACGACGGCGTGTCACGTCACTGCGCTCCAATTTTCCCCACAACAATAAGCATTTTTATGAAATCTATTCGTATTCGACCATTGACAAGGAGTTGATGTGAAAGTGATAATTTTAATTTGCTGGTAAGCACATTAATAAAAAGTCTTTGAATTGATCAGTTATTTCTATATACTTTGAAATTTGCTTTAAGATCAAGTTGATTTTTATGGCATGGATTTATTAATCGAATGTATAGTCTATATTTGTTAGATTATATTTCCTGTTTCAGTAAAAGATTGCAGATGAAATGGGAGTTCTTTTGAGAGTACGAGAAATCTTTCGTGGATCCATCAATATTTGTACACGAATCTCTGTTATCCAATATACAAACAGGATACTTTTAGCATTCTAAAGTTTCGAAAGCGGTTAGGAAGACACACAATGATAATAGATTCTGTCCATTTTGGTCTGGACGTTTCTAATATATTTCTGTCTATGACTCATAATATCAGTCAAATTCTGTGTTAACATTGTTGTATAATTGGGTGTTATTGTGAACAGAAAATTTATCGATGGTATATGTATACAAAATTGAAGGTTTTCTGAATTGGTTTTTTTATTACCGTATAGCACTCTAGTAAGTACCGGGAATAAATAAGGAAAATTTATACTACGATTAAATATTATTTATCAAGAAAATATTTTATAAATCATTTTTTTGAACCTTGATATTATAAAGAAAAAAAAATTAGAAGTATAATAGCGTCTAACTAGCTCGTTAGCCCGGGATATGCTCCGGGATCAAAGATGGTAAAGTATTTTATATATAAAAATGTAATAAATTTAAATTTATTTTATTAAATTATAATAAATTGTATTAAATTGTATAAAATTATATAATAATATATACAGTAAATAATAATTTATCTTTTTAAAATTAAAGAGATTATTGTATTTTATATAGTAAAATAAATTAAAATAAATTAAATTGTATTGAATTATAAATTTAAATAATAATATATTAAAATTTAAAAAACATAATAATCAATATTATAAATAAATAAGTTTTATAAATGTATATTATTTTTTGTTTAATTTAAATAACAAAAAATATATATTGTAAAAAGCATTTATTATATACAAATATAATAAGTGAAATATTTATTTTTTTATAAAATTCATATAATCAAAATATTATATTATAAATTTTGTAAGTAATAAAATTAAGTTAAAAATAAATTAAACTTTATATTTAAATTTTAAATTAAAAAAATTATTAAAATCTATATTTTAATAAACTGTATTTGAATTAAATTAAATTAAATTAAACTCTATATTTAAATAAAATAAAATCATATTATATTATATTAAACCAAATTAAACTTTTTATTTAAAATAATTAATTAAAACATAATTTATTAAATAAAATAATTTAAAAAAATCCTGGAAAAAAAACAACTCAAAAAATAAAAAAAAATAGAAAAAAACCAAATCTGAAAGAAAAAGCCAAAACTCTAAATAAAAAAAACGAAACCTAAAATAAAAAACCAAAACCCAAAATAAAAAAACAAAATAAAAAATAAAAAACCAAAACTCAAAATAAAAAATCAAAACTCAAAATAAAAAAACATAAACCTAAAAGAAAAAAACCTAATCTAAAACTAAAAACAGAAAAAAACAAAAACAAAATTCTGAAAAAAAAACAAAATTCAAATTCAAAAAAAAATTAAACCTTACAAAAAATAAAAAAATAAAAAAACTGGAAGAAAAAAAAACAAACAAAAACAAAAATTAAAATTAAAATTAGAAAAAAAATTAGAAAAAAAATTCAAAATAAAAAAAAAATAAAAACAAAAACCTAGAAAAAAAAACAGAAATCTAAAAAAAAATATTAAAACTTAATGAAATCCAAATCCAAAACTTACAAAAAAGCTTAAATTTAAATTTTCACATATTTTATTTCCATCATCCACATATCATTAATTAATCTCAGTAGATTGAACTTTGTTTTCTCAGATTTTTAAAGTTTTTTAATTATACAGAATTTCGCTTTAGTATTATAACAATTCTTATAGAATCGATTTTATTATAAAACCTAGTATAGGTAATATAAAAATAAAGAAAAAAAAATTTTTTTTGGCAAAAGTTAATAAGATTTTTAAAAAGATTTTTTTTAATTATCAAATAACCTTTTATTTTTATTGTATTGTTGAATTGATATTTAATTTTTACAAAATTATTAATAAGTTATTTTTATAATAAATTATTTTGAATTTAAATACTAACAAAAAATAAAAACCGTAAATAAGTAAATTAAAAATTTGTTAAATTTTAAATTTGATTTAATAACATTTGTTTTTATTAAAATTTTTGTTTTTTTAAACAATAAATTAATAATAAAAAATCAATTATTATTGTTAAAAAATATAAAAAAACAAAAAAATATAAATAAAATATATACATGATTCTAAAATTTTTATCTTATATATTTTAATATACAGTATATGTGTATTGTAATTTTTTCAATAGTTTGTATTTAAATTAAAAAAATTTCAAATTATTATAATGATTGTATATTGTATTTGCTTATTTTAATTGCTAAAAAATTCTATAAATTATTTTTTTAATGTTTTTATAAATTTTAATTTTGATAAATAATAAAATATTTTCGTTAATATAATACATACCATATATCAATTATTTTAAATAAATAAAATAAAATAATTTTTAATACAATAAACATAATACACCATACAGGGCATATACAGTACATTAAAATTTATTTAATTTTAAAAAGGAGTCATTACAATTTATCAAAAAAAATTATTTGATAGTAATTATGTTTATTATAAAAATTATAAATTAAAATATACTCTTGTTAAAAAGCGACATTGGTTATAAAAGCACATACACACTGATACATACAGAATAAATTTGAACAAAAAATAGAGTTGTCTCAAATTCTAGAATTTTAAAGTAATGTAGATTGCAGAAACATGATTGGCTAGTTTAATTTATTTAATCAGGAAATTATGTATTGTATACGTTACATTGTGTTTGATGTAACTTACACATAGGAAAATGTCATCTCGTGATAAAAACAAAGAATGGCTCGATGTGGCAGTTGAAGAGAAATATGTTAAATCTTTTGCCTATAGTTTATTTGACTCATTTCAACCTATTGCAGCCGGGGCTTTTGGTAGGGTAGATAAGGCATACTTAAAGAACGCAAGAAAAACAGTAGTCATAAAAAGTTTGCATACAAATATCACGGAGCAAGAAAATTTTTATGAATTATTCGTAAGCGAGGTAATAACATTTTATAAGGTCATAATAATAATAACAATAATAATAATTTTTTGAGGCTTTATTAATGCATTTTAAATTTTATACTCAGTTAAAAAATATTAGTGCTGTTGACCATAGCGATAACGTTATAAGATTCCTGGGAGTTAGTAAGGGTAATAAACGAGAAAAATAAATGATAATTTTTAAATTATTAATATTTTCGTATCTTATTAGAACCAGAGACAAGTAGTTATGTATTAGTATTTCAACATGCTAATGGAGGAAATCTTCGTGACTATTTGTCCAAGCTACATAAACAAGGCTGTTTTTCAGAACTTGAATGGGAAAGAAAAATAGAAATGGCAAAAGATATTGCAAGTGGTCTATACTGTATACACAAAGCAAAGATTGTTCACCGAGATTTAGTAAGCGAATGTTGTAGGTTTTCCTTTGTCGTATAAATTTCCTAATTATAAATCCAATATCTAGCATTCTAGAAATATCTTAATAAATGATGATAAATTAATGATTACGGATTTCGGATTGTCTAAATCTCAGGAAGTTAGGACGTGTGCTTCTGGATGGGCACCGATACATTATTGTGAACCACATTTCTTAAATGATCAGACTTACAAACGAAATGAACCTTCTGATATATACAGCTTGGGACAGCTTTTCTGGGAGATATCGAGTGGGGAAATTCC